CACGCGATGCGTCGATGTTCATGTTGTGATTTTGATCTTTGTCTTGGCCTCGCGAAGAAAGTCAAGTCACAGTCGTGAAGTCAACTCATGTCGAGTCGAGATTCAACCAGCAGCTTTGTGTGAGTGCTTTCACCTTTGCGTTCCCACGTGACTACCTACCGATAGATGGGTCCGTGCAGCGAGTCAAGTCGACCGGCTCACTCCTCAAGCTCGTGACTTCGGACGCACGGCTCACGCCCATGACCGCGCTTCGCAGCATTGTGATTTGTGATTCACATTCTTGATTATTATTGTTCACGATTGCGTTCCTGCGATTCTCGACTCGACACCGCGCTGGCTGTCTTTAAGAACATTGATCACTCACCGAGGTATGAGCGTGGTGCAGCACACGTGATAGTGTAGGAAGTTGACCAAGAAGCAAAGCATGGCCGACTCACCCGCTTCCACATCCACAGCCAAGTCGGCGTCAGAGACGAGAAATACCAGACAGTCTCCAGTCCAAAGCAAGGCGTCATCTGGCTCAACAATCAGCGCAGCTACACCCAGACGCTCTGCATTGCGCAGCGACGCGGGCAATGGTACGCCATCATCGACGTCCCGAGGTGCGCAGAGCAGCGCCCCATTCATTGCCCCACGATTCAGCGGCAGCAACAAGTCATCGCCGGCACAGTCGAGTGGCAGGACGAGCGTGGGACTGAGGCAACGCGCGACCAGCATACGCACAAAAGCAGCGAAGGAGGACGCTGGTGCAGCGACGATCAGCGCTCGCGAAAATGCTGAAAATGCCCCTGCCTCTTCGAGTGCGTCTGTGTCCTCGCAACACGGTGGCTCGAGCATCACGAACGATGGAGCCACCTTGACCAACATCGGCCACGTGGACCAAGAGGCACTCAGAAGAGTCGGCGTGCTGCCGCTTTGGGAGAATGCATTGAAGCTGTCGGAGGAGGACAAGGCGAAGCACGTCATTTGGCTTGACATCGGTGAGCGTGTGCGAGATGTTCGCGTGGTAGCCTTGTCGCACTTCTGACGCGAGCTGAAGACGGCTGGTCCGTCCTGCTGTGTAGACAACACGCTATATCGCAAGTCATCGCGCATAGCAGAGCTAATGGCTCAGCGCATCAGAGCTTACTTTCTGACGCTAGGATTGGATGAGTCTGAGGCAGAGCGTCTGCACAAACATTACTACAGCTCTTACGGCCTGGCTATCAAAGGGCTCGTCAGGCATCACAAGATAGACCCCCTGGATTATGACGCCAAGTGCGATGCCAGCTTGCCACTCGACGACATCTTGAAACCGGACGCGGAAATCCAGCAACTATTGGCCGATGTGGATCGTACCAAGACGCGGATATGGGCGCTTACGAACGCGTACAAGACCGTAAGTCGCTGTGAGGAATGGCATCAAATCCTTCCATATTCTCCAACCTTTGCTTACGCTGGCATTACGGCACCGCTCCCTCCAAAGCATGCTGTGCGAGTGCTCAAGCTGCTGGGTCTGTACGAATATATCGAGGGTGTCATCTTTTGTGACTATGCCGTAGACTCATTTGTCTCAAAGCCGGACAGGGAGTACTACGATGCCGTAAGTGCACGCGCTCTGTAAAGCTCCAAGCCTCCCCACAACTCTCAGGCTCGCCGCTTTGCTTCAACCCCGCAGGCCTTGGCTCACGTCGGCACCACCGCAGAGCAGTCCTTCTTCGTGGATGATAGTGCGCTCAATATACGTGCAGCGCAAGACTTAGGGTGGAGGTCATGCGTGCTGTTCAGCGAAGTCGACGAAGAACCCGTAGAACTAGAGTCTGTTCAATCCTCCAGCACCCTCACCACATTCAACACCGGCATACTCTTGCCGAAAGCTGTACCAAATGGCAATGTGGCGCAAGACAAGACGGCTCGCGGAGGTCACTTTGACGAAGAGCTTCTAAAATCTCAATTTCGCTCATTGCCTCATCAACACCGCGTCAGACTAGTCAGCATTTTGTTTTCGGCTGCAGAACCTGCAGACTTGGTCGTTCTCAGTCGGCTGCTTGACAGACATCTCAAGCTGAGCAGAGATATGATCTCCTCCCTACCTGATCGAATCATCACCTCGATCTTCGAGAAGCTTGAAGTGCGAGAGGTGAGTGAAACGGGCACAGGACGTGCTTCGCCACTATTCTGACGGCATTCCC